ATTGTACATCTACACATGATTATTGTACATCTACACATGATTATTGTGCATTGCACAGAGTTATGGTATGCGCATGGTTATTGCACATCTGCACATGTTTATCCCACATTGTCATGATTAATATACGTTTCACATAGCTATTGCACACTGCACATAGTTATTGCACATCTCACATGGCTATTACATGTCTGCAAATTAATATTACACATTGTACAAGTTTTTTTTACACATTGCCCATGGTTCTTACACATTTCACATAGTTTTGCATACTGTACATGTTTTTTACACATTTCACATGGTTATTGCATGTTGCACATGGTTTTTGCATACTGCACATGTTTTACACATATGCATATGGTCATTGCACATCTGCACATGGTTATTGCACATTTCACATGGTTTTTGCACATAGTTATTGAACATACATTGCGCTGTTGGTGTTATGCAGCATTTAATGCCCTGATGGCATAAATGTCACAGATTGAGAACATTTAGTTTGTTTTTGATGTTTTGAACGTGTGAAGCTAAATTTGACTTGACGCTGCCACAGAAACTCGTCACCTGAACTTTTCTTCAACTTCAAATCATGGCCCACATTTTGTAGATCCACTTTAAACAAGACTATTTTTAAAATTACATTATTTCTTTCAGCACTTTCTACTTGTTTTTATTTCTACTTTATTCTAACCTGTCGGTCTCAGATAGATAAGGCCCTGAGCCTCAATATTTTGTGTTAATTTTAATTTTTTTTATGTTTTGGCTGAAAACAAAAGTCATCTGAGTCTCATCAACAGACCAGTTAGAAATTAAAAATTATAATAAAAGGGTAATTTTCCAGAAACTCAAAAAGAAACAGAGAAACTCTTTAAATTGACTGTAAATCATCTGTGGTTCTTATTTTGTTTAATATTTGCACCAAACAAGTGTTTTTTTTTTTAATTAATAATCTCCAATGAAAAAGGTTCAAGCATGTAACAGGATTTGAACTTGTTGATTATTAGCATAACTTTCTTGACTAAAGAACATTTTACCTCTTAAATTTTCTTTAAACTTTCACATTTGTAAATGTACTTTTTTGAAAATGACATTTAAAATATTTGATAATGATGCATAATTTATAGTTTTGTGCCAAGATTACAGCCTTTAGGCCTTTAAGGTGCAATTTTACCTCCTTTTCAATCTAATACTTTTTTCCAGTTTCCAGTTGCAAAATAAAGATGACCAGCTTTTAGACCAAAACATAATTAGGAAAAAATCAGTATTTTGAATTTTACCATGTTTAAACAAAAGGGGGAAAAATAAAACACGGCTGTGAAGAATGTTGCCGTTTTTTTTAAGTTCTTTTCTATTCGAATAAAATTAATAAAATTAAACGTTTATTTTGGAGTTATTAACACTTATTTAAACTAGTTTTAAGAGCAATTTTTAAAAAATGAGGCCAGCTTGTGGGTTATTTGATATTTAATTATCATAATTTCTCAGACGGTGCACTTTAACACCACACATTTGTCAGAGGCAGATTTTATTTGTTTCTTTATTTATTTCCAAAACTTTAGCCTCAATTACTGCAATCTCTTCACAAACTCTACTTTTATTTTTTTCCTTCTGAGAACTGAGAATTAGTTGTCTAATTTCAGTTTTAAAATGCATATTTAAGTTTATTATTTGCAGTGTGTAAAGTTTTGTTTTTCAAATGTGTTGTTATTATTTGATAAATAAAAATGATTGATAAGCAGGTTAATTTAGGTCAGAACTGTGGAACAGAATTGTAGCCCCCTCCTCTACACTAAGAAGTTTAAGACTTTGTGGGGCTCCAGAGATGACCTCTGCCCAGGGCCCCCCTGAGCTCAGACCGGCCCTGCTGCAGGGCCACGCTGAGCCAGTTTCAGATTTTGACGTCATAGAATGAGTCCAGTTGAGCGTTTATATTTCAATAAATGTTTGGTTACATAAAAAGCAGAGGTGTGGTGCAGCAGGTGTCTACGGGGGGGGCACACCTGCCGGGGGGAGAGACAGGTAAGAGCGCAAGGGGGCGGAGACTTGTCTGCCGGAAAGGGGCGGCTCCCGGCGGCGCTCGGAGCCAATCAGCTCCCGGAGACTGCTGTCACAGAGCCAGCTGACATTCAGGTCAGAGACCGAGCAGGTCCAGGAGGGAGTCCCGGATCAGAGCTAGAGGAAAGTTCGGACCGGTTCTTGTGTTCCTGCGGACAGCTGCGGACAGCTCAGCCCGAGGGGAGCGTGTTTTCTGCGGGTGAGAGGCTGTACGATCCTCGGCAGTGTTCTGAGACTGTACGGCCCCGAACCCCCACCACCACCCCCCAGGACCAGAACCACGGACTAACCGGTGCATGAACCGGCTCTGGACTCCTGCACATCTAAAACCGGGACGTTTTTCTCTTTGAGGAACTGAGTCGAGTTAAAGTTGGACCTAAAGTCAGACCCGAACCATGACTGCAGACAAGGACAAGAAGAGGTAAGAGCTCCGTTCATGTTCACTCAGGGGTCCGTGAACGCATCATGTGAGGGACCTAGCTGGGACCTGTTGCTGCAGAGCTGCTGGTTCGATTCCCCTCACATCACAGCATGTCTCATGATTCAGGGTGTGAAGGTGCTGCAGCCCTCACAGAACACAAATCACTGTTTTACTGCTGAAAACAGGTGAAACGAGCACGTGCCGTGCACAGGTTTCCATGAGTTTACCTGAATTTAAAGTGGACTGGTGATAAAAACTAAAGCACATTTAATATTTGTGAAAACATGTTTTCTTGTGAAACAGAGGTTTGGAACAAACAGCAGGAGAATCTGAGGCGTCATCCAAACCTGAACAGTGAAATAAGTTGTTGAGTAAACAGATCTTCATTAGTGTCATGAACTGAAGGGTTGTAATTATTTTACGTGCAGCTAAAGCCACATGAATGTGTTTAATAATAATATATTAATTGTATTTAAAGAGTTTTTCTGAGGAGTGTTGGTGGAACATCACTTGGTGATATTTTGATGGCAGCTCTCATCATGGACCTTTACTGCAGATTTTTGTGAAAACGCAGAAAGACACGGGCGGTGCCAACAAGATGCTGTTAGCTGGACAGAGGGTGTGTGGTTGACCTTTGACCTGCTTGGAGCAGCAGCCCGGCTGTCTCTGAGGGACAATCAGCTCTTGTGACGGCTGCAGATACCGTCCAGCCTGCTCAGGAAATTTCCAGAACTTTAGGTGGTATCTCCTCCGTCGTGGTGCTTTCCTGTTGGGGAGATTGCATCTGTTTAATCACCGCCTGGACTTCTGCTGCTGCATGTTTGACTGCGTCGATACCATCAGGACGCCGTCGCGTTATATAACGTGTCCTGAAACCCGTTTGTCAAACATGAGTGTCCTCTGCTGGGAGAAGAAGATCCGTGGTAAACGTAAAGGCCGCGGGTCCGATGTTACGTAACGTCTGGTTCAATCACAACAAACAAGTTTTCACCGTTCAAGAGCTGAAACGACCGTCTTTGATCCAGGCCCTGAACTTTGACAGGAAAATGTTCCCGAGCTCTTTGAATCCGAAGGAATTCTGTTTAAGATTAGAAGGAAAGCGATGGTTTATTTGTTGCGTGGCTCTGAGGGAAGAAAACTGATTTCAATCAGCTGCCAGACGCCACCCTGTCTGTCCGGTCCACGGCTCGGGCTCTTTAATGGAACCGAGCCGAACTGAGCAGGAAACACCGGAGGCCCAAAGCGAGTCAGAATGAACCCCACGGACAGGAACGTGTTTGACAGCAGCTCCTCGCTGCTCTGAGAAGTTGTCTGAATCAAACACGAGCCGGGTCCGGCTCAGGTGTTCAGGTCCGATTGATCCCTGCTCAAGTGAGCGGATGGACTCATCGAGATGTTTAAAGGTTTAACGCACGTTAAAGCACCAGACGTTTGAGCAGCGCGTGGGAAAATGTTGTCTTTTGTCAGAGAATTTGTTTTAATTTCTCTCAGAACGTCTTCTTTCTGTAAGAAGACTTTGTTTGTATATACATCCACAGTAGAGAAGCAGGACCACGCCTAACGGACCCAGTGCTCACCAGAGAAATGTCAGTTCCTGTCAAAATGCAGCGTGAACACTTATAGCTGAATGAGTTTAGCTGCTGAAGAAGCTGAAACCAGCTGAAAGGGTTTCATTAGTAAATTGTCAATGTGAGCTGAATTTAAACAGCTGACGTGTGATGCATGCAGGGAAAAAACAGCTGAAATGTTTAGAAAAAGAAAAATAATTGTAATTAAAAGGAGCAAACTAAGCTAAAATAGACTGAAAGAGGCTGAATAGATTACAATAACTCCTAGAATGAGCAAAAACAAAACTGAAATTAGCTGAAAGGAGCAAAAAAGTTGAAAAATGTTTAATCACAGAAGGCAGAAATCAGATAAAAGGTGGGAAAAGGCTATAAATAGAAAATTCTGTATAAAAGCTTATTTTAGCAGAAAGAAGCTAAAAGCCAAAGCAGAACAGCTGAAATGAGCAGTAGAGGTTGTAAACAGCTCAAAGGAAAAGCTCCGTTCATGTTTAATGAGACGAACATGGCCGACACAGCTACATATAAAAAAATAATATATATTTTTTTAAATTGCACAAATACCAGAAGAAGAATGAAGTTTGAGGAACGAGTCACAAGCTGAAAGATGTACGGAAGAACGAATCTGAAAAATGAGAACGATTCAGAAACACACGACTAACGGCAAATTCACAAGTTTTATTTATGATCATTTTTTGGCTAAACTAACCTCCCTCACATAAAACTAAATTATAATTAAAAATATATAATTTTATAATTGTTTTACAAAATTAGTGTAAAGTGCTCTTAAGTTTTTTTTTTCTCTGGAATGCTTATGTTTGATGCGTTCGCTGACCGATCACTCAGTTGTGTATCTAACGAACACGGATCCTGTAAACAACAAGTTGATTACAAGCACACAAATATTCAACTTTCATTACATGAACTTTATAACAGTTTAAAGTTGAGTAACAAACAGGGATTCTCTTTATTCATAGCACAAATGTAGCAAATTAAACAGTGGTGGAGCAGAGGTTAGAGAAGGTGGGCCAGTGATTGAAATGTCGTCGGTTCAACTCCCCCAACTGAAATTATTTTTTAAAAATGTGGGTGGGAAAGGTGAAGCACCCACACCTGCCTCCACCATCATTTGCCCCACTCTGTGCCCTTGAGCAACGGCAGCTCTCTGCTCCACACAGTGGTCTGTGGTTGTGTCAGGAAGGACATCCGGCATAAAAAGAATCGCCCAGGTCTTTGTGCGATTTAGTTCACTGTGGCAAATTTAACAGAAAATAGAACTAGTGATAAATACTAATTATTTTTAAATCGTTAAAATTACAAAAAGTTTTAAAATAATGAATAAATAGAAAAAGTAGAAAACATAATCACCTTTTTATTCTTTCTAGTAAATTTAAATGTAACTTGTACATTGACGCCGCAGAGTGAATATTTTAATAAAACGGCTCATTTCATCACACACCAACTCAAAAATGACTAAATCAAGGAAACTACAAGCTAAAGCATGTTTGAAGGACCGCAGTTCCTCCTCAGTGGAGATAAATCTCAGTCTGATGAGCTGTTGGACACATGTCCTCAGCTGTGGACCAGTAGTCCACGAGTGGAACCCTGAAGGGTTTTCAGCGGTTTGGTCAACAAGTCAACACTGGTTCATTGTGTTGGAACAAGCAGCCCACTTCTACATTTAGACAGCTGACGCTCTACAGAAGCAACTTTCAAAGTTAGTTGACTTCCTTCATCTCGTTTAGAAATTAGAATCAAAGCCCTCCTGCTTTGACCTGACCCATAAAAGTGTTGATGTTCATCCTCTCAGCTGAACGGTGTCTGACCACCGGTGACGGACACAGCGATCTCTTCATGTGGTTCGTCACATCAGCAGTGTTTGTCCTGCTCCTTTCCCCGCTGCCGACTCCATTAAACCACTTTATTTAAACAATCACTGCCTTCAGAAGGAAGAGGCAGGCGTGCGTCTCGCTTCTCTCAACATGCCATCCCTCTGGACACGCTGTCCAAAGGTCAAGTGTGAGGGCAGCTGCCGGGCAGATATAGGTTTCAGGACTGCCATACGGGGGTGTTTTATGTCTCTTTAGAAGACCTGACCATTCATTACCTGGGTCGGGGAGGTGGTATTCTGGGATGATGTTTGCTAACTGTGGTGTGACCACAGATCGAGGATCTGACGCTGTCGAATGTTTGACGCACATCCGATAAGATCATGTCAGATCATTGATCTGGTGTTCAAGAAGAGCGGAAGAGGACCCATGACAGTTTGTGTCTTTGGCTTTAAATATTTTTGGAGTTGTTTCCTTTTAGCTAAAGGTAAAAACTGAGCCGTTACGTAGAAGTTACCAATTAATTAGCAACATTTTACAAAATGTGTAAGACTCTTGGCAACATCAGTGTCATCATAGTCTTCTGGAACCGGTCTTGGAGCGGTATATTTTGACTTGTCGCTATTTATGCCCCGGTGTTCACTGATCTTTAGAAACGTTCTGTTCAGTGTGATTCCAAGTGAAATCCAAAACATCTTCTTGCAATTTTGTGTCTCCAACTTGTCGTGAACAGTCAAAGCCCAGTGAGGCACCACCTTTTACTGACCTGCTTCAACTCGAAGCTTCACCTTCATCCACAGGTCTCCTTCAGGACCGAGGTCTGGAGACGAGTTAGACCGCTTCATGACCTTAATGTTCTTCTTCTTCTTAGGACACTCCTTTGTTTAAAGCTGGAGACACGCGACAGAGCTTTCAGTCCTTGCAGATTTGGAACAGACTCGGTGTATACACCGTCAGACTGGTTTCAGCAGATTTCTTTATAACGATTGGAAAACTGGGGAACGCACCCTGAACAGGTGCACCTGGTGAGGGGTCACAAGAAATATCAAAACACCTCAAGCACCTGAATGCATCAAACACTGGTGAGGGTGAAAGTTAGCCCCCTGTTGTTGTTTTTATGATCCCGCTACATCCTATTGTCTTCTGGGTCTATTTCCCGTGTCCATCCCTCTCTTTTCATTGGCTGCTGGCCACACAGGTTTGCATTTGGGTCTATATCAGATCACACCACCTACTTGTGTCCAGATTTGTCTCCAGAAATTCAAACATGTCTGGTTGACCATGACTGAGGTCCGGTTGGGTCTGTTGCACTCACATGACTGTAGCTTCAGCCTCTTTACCGCTCACACACTGACAGGGTTTTGTGCCAACCAGTCATGTTGGCTGTCCACAACCAGTGCAGACTGTGCTCAGCTAGGGATTGTGGGTAAAATCAGGCATGTTTTCCCAGAGATTAAACCCAAAACATTCCTTTGTGTTGCACTTTTTCAAAAACTGCACTACATTTTGATTTAGTGCTGCTGTTAAAAGAGGGCCGCTGATGTGTGCTCCAGGTTATCTTATCAAGTCATCAGTTTGGTTGCTGATGGTACTTCACAGGCTGATA